CTCCCTCCCTCCCCCCCCTCTCGCTCTCCCTCTCTCTTGCACTCACTGTGGCACGCCAGGCCGGCCGCGCCCATATCTCTCCTCTCTCGCAGCCCTATATAGTACAATCTATCAAACTCATGTCTCCATAAAGGAAGAGGCCTTAGCGGCGGCGGGCGCGTACCGGCACACACATACACACACATGCATACAACACAATAGCGCTCTCATGGCTCTGTCTTCCGCCTTCCCTTCTCACTTCCTGAAAACCACTGCGGAAAATGTCCGTGACCCTTAATGCAGAAAGTCTTCGAAACCGGATGAAAACGCTGGTTAGTTTAACACATTGGCGGTGCGCAGCGCTGCTCTGTGATGTCGCTCTGCCAATGAAGAAGGCGGCGGCGCAGCGCAGCGCGCAGCTTTTGGGGACGGGAGGTGGGGGGCTGGCCGCGGGTGGAGAAACGACCCCAAGAAATCGGACTAATAAGTAGGGGGGAGGGGGGGCTCCCGCGGAGGTCGAATGGGCCCGAGGGTGGGGTATAGGAGGGGCACCCAGCAGCTCCCCCTCCGCAGGGGGGCCGCACGTAGGGGCTGGGCGGGGTGTGGCCCAAGGCGGGCGGCGCGCGCAGGGAGTCTCTCTCTCTCTCTCTCTCTCGCTCGCTCCCCCTCCCTTTCTCCCTCTCTCTCTCTGCAGCCCGAGTTAACGCTGCAAATATCCCCACCTTTCCCTTCTCCCTCTAAAGGTCGCTCACCTCTCAGCGCGCCCGACTGATCCCTGAACCCGCGGAGCCCCCCGGGGAAAAGCAGAGTTTAAGGACACACCAGGCCCTTTATTTTCTTACCCTCTTTATTTCTTCTTTCACTTCGCCTCCCCCCGTTTTCTTTATTTTACGAACTTCATTAGCTCAGGGAGAGAAATAATTGATGGGAGTCTGTTGTGCATCAGGGGTCGAGGGGGGGGGGGTACCCCCTCGAGGCGCCGGCGGCCGCGGCTGGTCGACCCGAACGTGCTCAAGGAGGTGGTGCCTTAAGCTAATCGCGGGGCCAAAGTCCTCCGACTCGCCCGCCGGAACGGCCGCTAGCCGTCCATTTACACCATCATCGTGATGGTGCACGGCTCCCCGCCCGGAAGCGCCATGTCCATCTCTTCTCCTTCTTGCTTGAACATTTCCGGCCATCATTACCGAGAAACATTTTTTTGTTGAGAATAGCACGCCTTTCTCCTCTCACGCCATTCTCCCCCCGCGCCGCCCTGGCCGCCGCCACAGAGGGCGCTGCTGGTGGTCGAGGATCGCGTGATGATGATGTGCCGAGTAGATCTACCCGTGGCGCGGGGTAGCGCCGCTGCGATTGCGCGGGGTGGGGGGTATCGCCGATGACTGCACTAACCAACACTGCGGTGTTTGCACCCCACCCCTTCCCTTCTGTCTCCACCCCGTCCGCCCCGCCTTTCTCTCTCCCCCCTTCTCCCTTTCTGTCCCGTCGTATGCCGCTACTCTAACGCCGGCGACCTCACGGCCCGCGACCAGCGTGCTCAAACCCGTTCTCCCGTTCGGCACCCCTTCCCCCCCCCC